CAATTGGATTTTCTAGGTCTGTTTGATTTCTTATTATAGGTTAAAAAGTATGTTTATCATCGTTTTACCTGTATAAGAATGATTTTTTTTGTGGATGGAATCAGTCAACCAAATGGTTCATCCTTGTTTCACTTTCAATGTTGACATTCTTTTCCTTTTAAAAGCTGAATACATGCGTAACCCATATCAGCTAAGGGGTTAAATTGAAGGTCACATGAAAACGAATTCAATGAGGTCGAATTATTTACTTGCAAGTGAATAATTCATCAGCTATGTTTCTTAGCTTATTTTGGCCAAATTAAACCAAACTGGCTGCTAAAAGCGGATTATTATATCACTATTTCACTTTCATTAATGATTGAACAAAAATAAATCATATTTTTTTTTTTTCAGAGCTCGTAGCTAATGCCCCTTTAACAAGTTTGTCAAAAAGATCAAGTTGACAGCTAATAGAAAGATTATTTTTTCTTCCATTTCGTATCATATCGTACATTGCGTTAATAGCATTTTCTGCCAAATGAATTTTACCCGTTTTAAAACTCCCAGTTCTAGAGAAATATACACCCAAATAACTAAAGTCTTTAACAATATCAATATTTGAGTTATTGTATTTAAATAGCAAATTCTTTTGTAATCTTCCCTTTGTAAAAACTACTATCTTTGTTTTTTTCAACATTTACTCTGAGTCCCCATATGTTACAATAAATATTAAACTTATCTAGGGAGGCTTGGAGATCAGTCGCAGTTTCTGCAAGTATCAGCGTAAAGTATAACAAATAGATTCAGATAAATATCTAACTTTGTTTCAATGTCTTTTTTTATTGTTTCTAGACCAATCACATTTTCTTTGCATATACAATCTTCTAAGTCATTTAAAAACAGAGAAAATAAAAAGGGGAAAAGACTTTCTCTCTGTCGATTGTCAGTTTCGCATGGAAAAAAATCTTTTGTCCATTATATAATAAACATGATTTAATATTTTGATACATATTAAAGATAATGTTGTACATTTATATGACCTAAAAGCATTTTGAATCACAGAGCATCCCTTCGAACAGTGTCGAACGCCTTCTAAAAATCAAAAAATGCACAAAAGAGCTTCTTCTTATTTCTTAGAATTTCAAAAAATAAATGCAAAACAAACATACAATCAGTTGTCGAAAAACCTTCACGAAAACCACATTGATTTTCCTTAATCAACAATGTTTCTTCCAAAAATTTATTTAGTCTTGTATTTAAGATTGAGGTAAATAATTTTCCAAAACAGCTAACAATTGTAATCGGACGATAATTTTTAGGGTTGTATTTATCACCTTTATTTTTGTAAAAGGGTTTAATGGTCCCAATTACCCATGATTCAGGAATTTTCCCCGATTCAAAGATATTAAGATTAAACAATTTGACATAATTAAGCTCCATATACTGACCATCGGAAGATTTGATGAATTCTTTGATAATTTTATCATCTGAACAGGCTTTGTTGTTTTTCATTTTTTTAACGCATTTTAAAATTTCATCTTCGGTTATTGGCATATTAAGGCTTTCATTGATGTTATTAACGAAATCGCAATGAACTTGAGAAGTGTCTATTGTATCTGCTATATTGTCTTTAACTGTATTTAGTTCCTTGAAAAATATATCTGCAGCCTATTCATGCTGCTGTGGCGTAAAAACTTAACAATCAATCAATCAGACCCGAATAAATACACAGACATTCGAATGATAGAAACATGTCATGCCTCTTTCCTTTCACCGTAATCTGACAACTTTGTTTAACTATTGTTCGCAAGCACTGACATCTAATTGAAAATAACCAATCCTCAAAGGAGATATTTTAAATTGTTATGGCTTACTGCAGGCCCAAAAATCTCAGAAATATACTACTTACATCTTAAGTTAAAAAAAAGCCCGAAGGCCTCGACAGTTGAAATTACAGTTCCTGCGGAAGAAGCAAATGCAACTGCTGTAAACCAGCTATTACAGACAACACTATCGCTAGGACAGACAATACTATCGCCAGGATAGACAACACTATCGCCAGGATAGACAACACTATCGCCAGGACAGACAACACTATCGCCAGGATAGACAACACTATCGCCAGGACAGACAACACTATCGCCAGGACAGACAACACTATCGTCAGTGCAGACAACGCTTTCGTCAATACAGACAACACTTTCGTTAGTACATACAACACTTTAGTCAGAACGGAAAACACTTTCGTCAGTGTAGACAACACTTTTGTCAGTGCAGACAACACTTTTGTCAGTACAGACAAAACTTTCGTCAGTACAGACAACACTTTCGTTAGTACATACAACACTTTAGTCAGTACGGACAACACTTTCGTCAGTGCAGACAACACTTTCGTTAGTGCAAACAACACTTTTGTCAGTACAGACACTACTTTCGTCAGTACAGAAAACACTCTCGTCAGTACACGTTCGTCAGTACAGACCACACATGCGTCAGTGCAGACAGCACTTTCGTTAGAACAGTAACGATGCAGTGGTACAACATCAATATATCATCTAACTTTTAAGCGGAAAATAGTTAATAAATCTTACTTGTGGAATTTACAAGCTGCAATTTGTTTGTGAAACGGAATAAATCTTGAGAAGATATATGTTAGCAGCGCAATGTGATCTACTTGTACGTGTAAATGTAAGATCATTATAATGGCGGAAATAGTTTACATCAACCTCCACATAGTCGTGCTGCACACCAGATAAAGCTAGCCTGTATAACAATATTGCGTGAATGTATATGTATCACTATAAGATTTAACAAATATTTTTATTGCACTCAGAAAGATTCATTAGCTTGTAAAAGTTACTAAATGAGACAACAGTTACTGTTGTTACAGTATTCTAGATATAAAACACACCTTTTATTAAGTTTCGGTTTACTGGCTGCTTTTGAAACGTCTTTCGAAAGGCTTTGCTAGATTATATTTTCTTCAGAATAATACACTTTACGTCCGATACGTATGCAGTATGTTTACAAATGTTTATGTTAGACAATTGATATTGAACAACAAGTGGCTACTAATTTTTATATGAATTTACTTAAGGTTTTAAACTGTGACGATTTAAAATATGTAAAGACCAGCTTATAGGGGATTAATCTTAAGTCATATAAACACAAATAATGTCTAAAGAAATAACTTTTTAAATATATCATCGCCATTAAACAGAAATATGGTAAGTTTTTACGTTTTATTGTAAAGAGAATACTCATAATAATACGTCAGTCAAAAGACTTGACAATTGGTATTTGCTGCTTTGTGCAAGGATGCAGTATTTTTGAGTTAGAGAAAAGACTGGTCGGTCCAGAGTCATAATTATAATGTTTCCGCGGATAGGTGAAATGTCTTCCAGTGGACTTTTACCTTATGAACTAGCACGTTACAAATCCGTATTGTCGGTCTAGTATAAACAAAGCGGGGTTAATATTCATATCATATTAATATTTCTGATATTTGCCATTGGACGTCAAATATCGATCCATTAGCATCATTATAAAACGTAGGCATGTCAAAAGCTAACCATAGCTTTTGCTTCTCGGAATCCTTGGACTCTATAGAAGAGTTTTACGTTTAACCCTTGTTCAAAAACAAATCGACAGATCGATTTTCAACATTATTCAGACACGCAATGATGAAAAAATTACATATAAAAATCATGCACGTACATCAAATTAACGGGAGAAAAAACTTTTGTGATCTTTTAAATTAAATTAATATATGATTGAAGATCGGCATCGAGTTTTTTTGCTCTCGAAACTGCAATCGAATAAAGTTTTGTTTTTAGCTTTCCATTTTGTAAATCGAAACAAATATTTTAACTCGCTTCACATAAAAATTAAACAAGAATGAATGCGAATTTACACACGTAATTTAGTATGTTTATAAAATAAAAAGCAAATAGCTCAAAGTGTTGAAAACATTATCTGTATAGAGCATTGTATCTTCTTATCAAATATATAGCAACGTGCTTTCGACCAATGAAATAGTAGGATTATATGTTTCTTAATTGTGAAGAAAGAACGTACATGTAAATCATGTTCTGAGCAAGGGAATACTCTATTGTTTAGGCTTACTTACAGTTCAAAACAAAGAATTTCTATAAATGACTGTCTATCAGCTTGAAACTGACTAAAAAGTTGAATTTTGAAACAAAAACACAAAAAAAATCAAAATAAGAAGAACTTTACTGGTGCAGTAAATTTGTACCATTCATGTTATTATTTGAATATTCAATATTTCTAAAAAAAATATATATAATCAAAGCAATTTTAAAATGAAAAACAGTTTTAGAATTTTATATATCCTGTATATTAAGATAATACCTTACCAAAACTTAGATTACTGGATCCGCGGTTGTTAAAAAAAGTATAAATTTCCAATATTCCAATAAAATTGTAATAGGCAGTTGAATTAACTTTTGAATGCCATATAAAAAAAAAGATAATTCCTCACTGAAATATTACATGATATACATTCATACACACTATAACAAATTTATACAATTCCTATCATTTCATCGTACTGTTGTGTCATCTAATGTCCTAAAACACAAGTTATTAAATCTTCCTTAATTATAGACTGAAGTCCTAACATCACTACGACTTACCCATATATGAAAAGCATAAAGAGGAAGTCATGCATTAATTATAAACTTTGCACTGACATTGAAACAAATTCTTGAATACAACCAATTAAGAGAAATTTGAGCCTTGAGCACTTTACAATTATATTCTAAGTTTGTAAGAGTTTTTGTCATAGATCTACTGGGCTTTACACCTTTAATTTAACGAAAACAGTTGACCAGTAATTAAAATGACCACTCCACATATATCTATGGTACAATACATCAGTTTTATATTAATGTACAAACATAAGTTGAATTATTACGACATTATGAATTCAACATTTGAAATATCAAGGTACATGTATATCATATTTTTAACGAAATAATTTTCTATCTTCAGGAATAGAAGACAAAATGTTAGTTTATTTGAAAATAGTATTGCTTTGTGCTGTTCTTAATGCCATTATCATAGCTACCTCTGGTAAGTAACTGTATGTTCTACTCACCAGAAAAAAGATACTAGTTTATAGGGTATTTCATTTATAGAGGTATAGTCAATTTCCCCTGAATTCATTTTACGCCAGGACTAATTCAAAAAGTCTTTCAATGTTAACTAAATTCACAGTATCACAGCTCCATATGTGTACCTCTATATTGTATAGAACGTTTATTGTTAAAGATTGTATCATGCCCACTAGATGTCTTTGTGTTAAATTTTGACGTTGAATTACTGTCTCATTGACGTTTACCTCACATCTCATTGTATGATTCATATTTGAGTATCTAATAATTTTAAAGGTGGTTTTAAGCAGATGACATGATCATTTATTTCCCAAAGATAACTCAAAACGACGATTTTGACTGGGGTAATTACCAAAAATGAAATGTATAAGAAGGACATTCTTAACCAAGGCCAACACTTTGCATAAAACAAATTAAAGTTTGTCTTTTGGAGAAAAAAAAACTAATTTTTTCTGGAAAGAGACATCTTTCAATACAAAATTTTACAAAAAACGTGTGATATTAGCAATTTTGTATAAATATGCTTTGACCGCTGAACACTATTTTGATTTTTAAGGATAGGACATAAGTAAAATATTTAAAAGTGTTTTGGTTTTTATGATATAGACTAATTAATAGTATCATTCCAGTAGGATTTGAAATTTTAAATAGTTTGACCCTTTCAGTGGAACAAATACAAAAAAAAATGTCCCTAAATCTTTTTCACCATCTTCAACTTTCCACTCAAGTCTGTATATTTGGTGTTTCATCTCTATTTGAAGAAATCTGTTGGTTCAGATAACTCGTACATTAATTTATTCTTCTGTCCACATGTTTCAGTACTACCGGTATGTTCTGACTTTGATCATGTTATCTGTATTATTTAAGGCCAATGTAGTGAACCATCGCCACCTGAACATGCCTACACATTAACAGTTTCCCAAGTCTCATACACATCAGGAGAGATCTACGAGTTTCTATGTGTACCTGGTTATACTTTAGATGGGAGCGGTAACCTGACATGTTCCGGTACCAGTTGGATCCCTGGTCTACCATCGTGTATTCCAGCAGGTATTGTAATCACTTCGTTATATATGTAATGGACTGTTGTTTTAGTGTCCAGTTTTATTTGACTTTAAAACAATTTGCAGTCGCATTTTTGGTACAATGTATGGGTGAGGTACAATGTATAGGTCTGGTAAAATGCATTGGTGTGGTACTGTATAGGTGTGGTACAATTTATAGGTGAGGTACACTGTATAGGTGTGGTACAATGTATGGGTTTGGTACAATGTATAGGTGTGGTACAATGTATGGGTGTGGTACAATGTATGGGTGTGGTACAATGTATAGGTGTGGTACAATGCATAGGTGTGGTACTGTATAGGTGTGGTACAATGTATGGGTGAGGTACAATGTATTGGTGTGTTACAATGTAAGAGTGTGGTACAATGAATAGGTGTGGTACAATGTATGGATGTGGTACAATGCATAGGTGTGGTACAATGTATGGGTCTGGTACAATGTATAGGTGTGGTACAATGTATGGGTCTGGTAGAATTTATAGGTGTGGTACAATGTATTGGTGTTGAACTGGTACAATGCACATATCAGCATACACGGACACATTATTTTGACTCAGAGCCGACCAGTCTTTGCTCTTAATCTTCGATGGTGCGTGCTTAGCGTAGAAGCCTCAATCCCAATTGTAAAGTCTTTGGCGGTAAATGTATGCGTGTGGTACAATGTATGGGTGTGGTACAGTGTATGCGTATGGTATAATGTATGGGTGTGGTACAGTGTATGCGTATGGTACAATGTATGTGTGTGGTACAATGCATGCATGTGGTGCATTGTATGGGTGTGGTACAATATATGCGTGTGGTACAATGTATGCGTGTACTGTTGCTTTTGGTTTGTTAATTAAATTTCTATCATTTTGTTTTCACGAATTCAAAATTCGGAAACATTCTAAAGGTTCTATTGACGATAAACAGCCAAAAAAGATTAAGAACATCAAATGGAGAATATTTGATTCTAGTAAGATTTTGGAGTAATCTATGACGGTCTTGTAATTTGCTTTAACAAACCTTTCTGTTTATCTTATATAGTACCCGCACGTGGCAGGTGCGTTGTACTCCAATGTAAATTAAGTAGGATTGTCAATTTTTCTACCGAAGGTCGGTAGCTCTTTTCGTGCACTCCGGCTTCCCCCACCGAAAAAAACTGGCCGCCACGTGCTGAAAGTGGCGTTAAACACCAATTAATCAACCAATCAATCTTATATAGTATATGTAAAGGGCAAGTGACATGTGGTCTTCTTTGCAAAACAACGCCACATATAAACTTCCATATAGTTAAGATTAAGGTTTGTATTTCTTTACAGAGCTGTTAAAATGGTGGGTATATCTGGTTTGTGTTGTTGCTGCAATCATCCTGATTCCCTGTATCCTACCAAGGGTATATGCTTGTATATGGTACGTACATACTGATTCCCTGTATCTTGCCAATGTTTTATAACCATTTGTGTCACTTTTTGTAATGGTAAAACTATCACTTAAACAAAGTAATGGAATTTCTTCTTTATTAGTTCCTTCATCGTGTGTTTCAATGATACAGTTGGTTTTTTTTACACACAGCCACGTTACTAGATGTATGCAATCGAAATAATATGAAGGTGATAACTTTGGAATCAATTAAATTGCATTATATGTAGTATACGAATTTCAGTAAATTTGAAATAAGTTCTTTTTCCCGAGTACCCTAGGGGACAGGCTTCAACAGGTATGCTAATGATTAAAATAAATCTATGATCATTTTTACCTGAGGGAGTTGTAATTTGCTTTAAGTAGAATCATAATACGATCGACTAAGTGATAGAAATTACCTCATTAATTTTATTTGATTGGACATGATTGAATTGAATGGTTAAAACTAGAGGATGTTTAAAGGAAAACGTAAAATACAATGATATGTTTTTACACGTACAAACATTTGTAAATTCTATAGAGTGTGATTCTGCTATTTACCCACTAGTCAGCATTTATTTATACAAATGTATTATATATAAGTGATGAAATTAGCAGTGAATTCTTAATCGTCTCCCTTATGATTGATAGAATGGTTTAAATTACAGTCTTGTTCACAGAATAAAGAAAAAGAATGAAATTTGTTTATTATAGTGTCACATATTGATTGAAACAAGACATTCACATAATATTTATATACACAAAAATAACAATTAATATCCAGCCAAAAAAAACAGCTTATGAGACACTGATCCTTAAAACCAAAATGCATACAAAAATATACTATTTAAACTTGTTGATAATCATGTACACTTTTAACTTAGAATGGGACAAGTCACGTAAAAAAATAAATAAATCTAAAAATAATAAAAATATATGTTAACTACAAAATATTATAAAATGAACACACTTGGGTAAAAATCTGATAAATTAAAGCACTAAATAGGAAAACATTACTGTAAAAATAGTTTTCTGCGCAAATGAAATTTATGTAAAAATTTGTAAAATATACTACTGGATATTCACATATTGAGTGAGTTTTTCCTTCAGTAGTACTGATAAAGGAAAATATATTAAATTGTGCGCACAATATATTAATTCGTGTGCAAAATATACACATATTTCTATTAAGCGCACAAGATATTGAATTGACCGCACAGTATATCTATATTGAGCGAAAAAAATAATAATTTGTTCCCACAATATATGTTTATTTAGCGCACAACATAATAATTTGTGCACACAATACAATAATATTGAGCGCACAAATTTTTTTTAATCGAATAATATAATACATTTTCCTTTATCAGTATTACGGAAGGAACATTTGATTTTTTTGTGTATATGTCCGTAAAGAGGCTCCGTAGGAATGTAATCAATTAATTACCATTTTATTGCAGTAAAAGAAAGAGTAAAGCTGATGACCGTAAACCTCTGACAAAGGAAAAAGGTAGTTACCATGGTAAAGGTGGTGAACCGCCCGGAGTATGGAGGAACAATAAACCAATAACACCAGTAACTGATAAAGGGAAACACAAACTTAGCTCACTTCAAGATAATTACTCAGGTTATCCTCACTCAAAGAATAATCATTATTACTGAACGTTATAACTTTATCAGTGTTTATATACATGTATTAAAAAACCTTCAACTTAATTTGTTTGATGACAATTGAATAAGTTGTATTGATTATCTTACAAAATAATCTTATGGGTTATAAGAAATGTAACAGTTTTAAATTTTGTTGTTGTTGTTTTTCTATTTACAACATAATGTCACCTGTTGTTATCGGTTTTTAATAAAAAGAAAGGGTTGCTTGCGATCACTCAGTCAAAGGCGTGAATTTATAAAATCAAAATTATCCTTTGTTTCAGATTTTTAAAGTGTTATGAATTTTTTAGTGGGTGTTAAATACTCCAGTTATTTTACTCTGAAACTAGAGATGTACCTTTGAAAGGCAGAATTTTTATACAAGACAAGAAATGGCAGTATAAACTTTTCAAAATCATGTTTATTTATAATGTTTTACATTATGGGAAAATTGTCATGATTGACCATGATGTTATAAATATGTTCGACCACACACATAGTTTTCGGCAATATTAAATCCCAAAAGACCTCTAGAGTTAAAAATAGGTGCTCAACATCAATTAGGTTTCCATACAACTTGTCAAGCTCTAAATAGTTCTGATTAAAAAAAGAGTTTAAATAATTGTACTCCAGATTATTAAAATTCTGCCACCAACACAAAATTAGACTACTGAAAAAAGACAGAGAAAGATATTACAAATGACAACCACTGACTAGATTCCTGAAAAGGGGCGAACATATGGAGGGTCGATGAAAACCATTAAGTCGAAGGAACACAATCATCATGACCAAAAGAATATAATAATACCGACTAATTTGACTTTTTTCTGACCGAATCAAACCGTAAAACGAAAGTGTACTTAACTTACTTAGCAAGTAAAATTTGAATTTTGAATATTTACATTAAGTACATGCTTAAATAACAAAAAAAAAGAAAAGGATAGTTCATTGATTCTTTATATTAGCATTTTGTCAATGCTTGACGAATACAGACAAATATTCTATCGTACTTATCAACTAACAATTGATGTATTATTCTGTTAAGTGTTGTTTGGTACTCAAAGTCGGTACCAATTCACTTCACTTTTATTAACGTAAAGCAAGAAGTTCGCCAAGTACTGTGTATAAAAAATCTCGATTCCGTCTGCACCCATATTTTATCCTGCCCTTTTAACTCTATTGCAACAACAGCCGTTGCAACTGCATTAGTATTTTCTACAGGTCCTGACATGTATCCACTCGCAATCGTCTTTCCGTTTTTGCGAATTTAAAAAGTACTTATATCACGTGAAAAAATCCAAGCCGAAATTAAATACATTCCTTCAACTTCTACTTCAAACTTTCCATTATTTATAAATGTTGGGAGATTATTTATAGAGGACGACGTTGATACATCAGCAAACTTGACTACGTATCCACTTGATTTGAAACCATGATCTTTAATTGCTGTACAAGCAGTCATTGAAACTATAAAACAAACACATAATTATAATTCAGACAAATTATTCATAACATTGCTTTTTATTTAATAAGAGAAAACTATACTGCAAAATTTATATTACTGATCATTTTTATACAATAAATGTTTTTTGAATTGCAACAAATATATGGGGTTTCCGTATTGAACTATCATTGTTATGAAGAAAATATAAAAAGGAGACATACTTGTTTCTTTTTTTCATAACTTTGTGTCCTCAAATAATAAGTAACAAGTGTCCGATTCTATTTGTTCGAAATACAGTATATTAAAGATTGGATATCAATTAAACAACTTTAGTACCACATATGAAACCAGAGTCTCTAAAGAGCATGTGTCGCTCATCTTGGTTTATATACATATTCAACAAAGGACACTCTCCAACATTGTAGACGAGAATAGAATTAATGACAAAAATATCTGTTTTTTTTTTTATCTTATATTGTTGATCATTGAAGTTTGTTTAGTTTCTCTCTATCTTATTTAGCTCTTGCTCCAAACACAAAAGAGGGTTAAAAAAAATCATTATTTTAGGGCAATAACTCTTATAAAGAGTAACAGTCTACTAATTATATCAGCAAAATTTGACTTGTTAGTAGGTCTTGTCTTGCTTATCATTTTTGATTATTTAAGTTTTTATCTATCTATTATAATTTTTATCATATAAGGCAAAACGCAAAAAAATGGTAAAAATCGTCATTAAAGGGCAATAATTCTAACAAGGAGTCGTCGGACAATTTCCTCCATTTGTCTTAGTTGTAGATCTTGTCTTGCTGATCATTTTTGTATATTTAAGTTTCTTTCTATCTATTATAAGTTTTAAGATATAAGCCAAAAACGCAATCAAAATTGTACAAATCGTCATCAATGGGCAATAACTCTAATAAGGAGTCAACTGACGATTTCAACTATAGATTTATTTGTAGACCTTGTCCTTTTGATCATGTTTGCAATTTAAAGTTTCTCTCTATCTATTATAGTTTTCAAGATAATAAGCAAAAATCGAAAAAAGTGGTTAAATTTGTCATATAAGGGCAATAACTCTTACAGGAAATCGTCTGACAATTTTGACGTATAGGGAGAATTGGTAGAGCTCAACATTCTGAACAATTTTACCCTTTTCAGATTTCCTCTATTTGTAACGGTTATCAATAATAGACAAAACTTGCATTTTACCCCTATTTTTAGACACGTCGGCCATCTTTGTTGGCAGGCGGGATCATAGGACACATTTTTAAATACCCTAATGATGATTGTGGCCAAGTTTGATTCTATTTGGCCCAGTAGTTTCAGAGGAAAGATTACAAAAATTTATGAAAATTTTTTAAAAATTTACTATACAGGGCAATAACTCCTTAAGGGGTCAATTGATAATTTTTGTCATGTAAACTTATTTGTAGATCTTACTTTGCTGAACATTATTGCTGTTAACAGTTTATCTCTATCTATAATAATATTCAAGATAATTACAAAAAACTGCAAAATTTCCTTAAAATTACCAATTTAGGGGCAGCAACCCAACAACGGGTTGTCTGATTTGTCTGAAAATATCAGGGCAGATAGAACTTAACCTGATGAAGATTTTTACCAATTGTCAGATTTGCTCTTATTGCTTTAGTTTCAGAGATATAAGCCAAAAACTGCATTTTGCCCCTATGTTCTATTTTTAGCCGTGTCGGCCATCTTGGTCGGCGGGCGGGATCATCGGACACATTTTTTAAACTAGATACCTCAATAATGATTGTGGTCAAGTTTGATTCTATTTGGCCATTAAGGAGTCAATTGACCATTTCGGTCATGTTGACTTATTTTTAGATCTTACTTTGCTGTACATTATTGTTGTTTACAGTTTATCTCTATCTATAATAATATTGAAGATAATAACCAAAAACTGCAAAATTTTCTTAAAATTACCAATTCAGTTGAAGCAACCAAAACAACGGGTTGTCTGGTTTGTCTGAAAATTTCAGGGCAGATAGATCTTGACCTGGTGAACAATTTTATCCTGTCAGATTTGCTGTAAATGCTTTGATTTTAGAGATATTAGCCAAAATCTACATTTTATCCCTAAGTTCTATTTTTAGCCATGGCGGCCATCTTGGTTTGCGGGCCGGGTCGTCGGACGCATTTTTTAAACTAGATACCCCAATGATGATTGTGGTCAAGTTTGGTAAACTTTGGCCCAGTAGTTTAAGAGGAGAATATTTTTATAAACGTTAACGACGGACGACGGATGACAGACGACGGACGACGGACTCCAAGTGATGAGAAAAGTTCAGTTGGCCCTTTGGGCCAGGTGAGCTAATAAGGAGTTTAAATCAAAATTTTTGAAGATTTATAGCGTCCAATCGGGCTCTCATATAAATCCAAAGGACATATTTTTTTTTGTCGATGTCTTTTATAGCCTACCATACTGCATGGGTTTTTCTCATTGTTGAAGGCCGTACGGTTGTCTATAATTGCTTACATCCACTTCAATTGAACTTTGGTGGATAGTTGTCTCATTGGCAATCATACCTCATCTCCTTATATTTATAGGGAATAGATGTAATAAATGATACTTATTAGAGTCTTGTAATGCAGACGAACACTCCTTGATTGTTTGTGCATTTATTATTGAAATCCTTCAATTAATTGGGTGTTCTTTTTTTTCTCCTCTGGTTTCTGCTTGTTTCCCTTAGTGTAAAATTTCGTAAAATCGTTAAAAAACACACAGTTCACAATAGATAAATAGAAAAAAACGTCTAAAAAGTAAACAAAATCAGCGAAATTAAGTAAAAATGAATATAAAATAATGTTCCTCTGGCTCATTGTTTACATGTCATATTGATTTTAAGGGCATACGATAAAGTTACAGGGGAGGTAATGACGTCGCTAACGTAAAATTGTAATTTTCGCGACGTCAAAATGTGACATTTCGGGAGAAGATGCATTTTTCGACTATTTTTTATCATTCAGACTGATTTAACTTGAAAACGAGTACATTGACCCCTCTTTTTAAAAATGACATTAGCCTTGATTATGTAGAAAGGTTATGTGTGCCAATTTTTATGAACAAATCACCGATGATTTTTTTTTAATTTGATAAATATACAGCAAAAAATACCGTTTTTTTAACTAAAATCATGAAAATTTGAAAAAAAAATAATTATTTCCAAAGTTTGGAATTGATTCACAAATTCAAAGCACTCTTATGAAGAAAAGATATTTCAAATGTTTTTACAAAAATCCGTTTGCGCTTATCCTTTAAAACAAAAAAAGTATGCATTTCCAAATGATAGAAATGTCCAAGAATACGATTTTTCCAGTAATTGTCTTAAATTTCGACCCCATTTATCTCTAAAAGTAGCACATGAAGGTATATTTTTATTACATATTTGAATTGACTAGGTGAAAAACAGCTTGTACGCAAACTTTCGTAAAAAAAATCACCGTGGGATAAAAACTGTATCGTATGCCCTTAATTTTCTCCTCTCGTTTATATTTCGGCAGTGTTACATCATCTCTTTTGGTTGGTTTTTCTTTTTTTATTCTCGGTCATCTCGTTAACCTACCTGTTGTTGTTTCCTCTCTTTTCTCGTTAATATACCTAGTTCTATTTCTGAAATATTACACACACTCTCTCACTCTCCCTCTTATCGTTACCTTCTTTAACGCATCCGTCTAGCTCCACTCGTTAACATACAATTTGCTGTTTCTATAAGTAATATACATTCACTCTTTTTCATAAACTTACCTTTTTCTGTTTCTCCAACCTTTTGCTTTATT